ATTTTGTGCTTTAATGGTATCAGAGTTTATCAATGGTATCAGTGGTTGATAGGGCTGGGTATCGTTCAAAAATTTTCGATATCGATACCGATACCTTGACTTCGATACCGGTTCCTGAACGATACTTTTTGATATGAGTTTATTTCTTTCATTATATATTTTCCATCTTGTATGTAACAACCCCCCCAAAAAAAAGCCCTTGCCCCCAAGAAAAATGCCCTTTACTTCAACAAGAGATGAAATAGCTAGTGTGAGAACCTCTAATGTTTAAATTAACATAATCAAAACATGCTTTTGTGTTCAGACAGTGGTTGTAACTTGAATTATAATTAACAGGTGTTTCAAAAATGAAACAAAAAAAAATCTATTCCATCTTAGTCTATTTGTCCTTCCTCAATGAATAATCCTGCCTTGGGACATACAGAGGCAGATTTGATGTAAATCGGTGGGGAGTAATGCCGAGTTCACACTGCACGACTTTAGCCCGATTTTTCACTCGCCGACAGGTTTTGCGAAATCGCCTGGGACATGAAATCTTCAGTAAAATGTGGCTAAGCCTTTTACGTTTTAAGTCTTTCATAGCATTTCTTAGAGGTCTGCCAGCTCCAATGACTGTCTGAGAAAGCAAAGTAAGCTCCAAAGGACTGTTCGGAGAAGAAAAAAAAGTGTCAGCCTCCTCAAAAGCCTTTCAAAGACTCTTGGGAATACTGGGTGACGTAAACACAAAACCCTCACATCTTTGTCACTGTTATGGGTGATGGAAATGCCGAAGTGAGAGTGAACATTTCCCACTGACTACAGGCTACAAGTCAACAACAAGCAACAGTGTCAGCTGTTCCGTTACGAAACAGCCCACTGGAATCCTGAACACACATAAACCTCATTCCTACAATATTCGGTCAACAGCCTTTTGGGTTTTTTTACTGTTTTTTTCCCTTTCAAATGTGCCAGCAGTTACAACTTTAAAATGTCATTCAAAAACAAAGTAATGTTTACACAACATAAACATAGCAAAGTGCAAATTGCAAAAGCCTGTTTAAAAAAAGCTAGTCCAAATGTCTAATTTAAGTATTTATACAGACAAGATTTTAACGTGTTTGAAAGTCTCTCTTGCTCAGCAAGGCAGCATTTTCTGAGCAAAATACAGTATAAACAGAAATATAGTGAAATTATTACAATTTAAAATAATTGTAATATTTCTTAAAATGTAAATTATTCCTGAGATGGCAAAGTTACATTTTCATAAACAGAAGATTTAACTGCTTTCATAAATTCAATGTGACTAATAAACACATGACTACGACAATATATGGTTTATCTGAGTTCGTCTTATTATAATTTTTATTATAATAAAGTATATAATAATGCAATGCTAATCGACATAGCCTTTATCACTGCTTAGAATACTATGAAATATGTTGCGTGCCTTATTCTGTGTAAGAAGACACATCATCTCACAGAAGGATTTATTTCAAACACTCGACTGACGTTATGAAGTGAGTTTGGAGTAAAAACATGTTATTAAATGTGGTATTTTCACGTGCTTTCAGATGAAGCAGCATTTACGACACAGAGCCGTAGTTCACTGACAAGCTAAACAAACAGCTTTCATAATCGCAGAACGATTTCTTCGATTTCATAATCGCGCAATTAAATCGTCTGCGATAATCAACGCGATTTTGCACAGCTTGTCAGTGAACTACGGCTCTGTGTAGTAAATGCTGCTCCATCTGAAAGCACGTGATGGAGATTTACTACTAATCACAGAACCGGCTTTACTGACAAGATGCGCATGACAATAGCATTCGATTAATCGTGCAGCCCTACTTTGATGAACAGAAAGTTTAAAAGAACAGCATTTATTTAAATAAAACCAAAATATTTTGTTACATTATAAATGACTTTATAGTCCAACCCTCTATGGACACCTTGGCAATTGAATCGCCATTGGCTAGTATTCCAAAGGAACTCCGTTATTTTTACAGGAAAGTACAACAAAGTATATCGTTTACATGTAGCGCATGAATTCTGCATGTTATGTAAGACTCTCGCTCTTTGCGCGTCTGAGAGAAAGCGACGGCGAGTCGTGCACCTTCACACTAGATTTTACATTACGCCAAATACACAAACACAGGTGCGCTGCGCATCCATTACTCGCAATGTAGAGGGTTGTGTCACTTTTGGTTAATTAAATAAATAAAAGTATGAATTTCTTTCATCATCATCATCATCATCAACAACATAACCTTTACTTTTAAACTGTACTATAACAGGTTGTAGGAATTGCCATTTCATAACAGATGTACCATTAACAACTAACTACCCCATTTACATTTAAGTTCTTGGAAGATATTTTTGAACTAAAGCGACTTACAAGAAAGTGCATGTACCCTCAAATATTTACTTTATTAATACAAGTCAAGCACTATGACTAACCCTCAAGACTCAACAAGAAAGTGTAATACAAGTGCAAATACCATGCAGTGCACGGCACAAGAAATATATCAATACAATAAGAGATGCAACACTCTCAATAAAATCAGTACTAACGCAAAAGTTGACTAAGAATAAAGTTGCAAAGCAGTTATTTTTTGTAATTGAAGCATAGTAAAAGTCTCCTGTGTAATTCATTTCACCACAGATGACATCATGCAGGCAAGGTAACAGTAATTAGCATTCAACCTAATGATTAACAAATTACTACTTATCTAGACACTGAAACCACAGTATTTAAGGTCATTTTATACCTGAACAAAGATATTGTCCACAGTATAAGTCCACATTTAAAGGGGTCATATGATGTAGCTAAAAAGACCATTATTTTGTGTATTTGGTGTAATGAAATGTGTTTATGCGGTTTATGGTTCAAAAAACACCTTTTCCACGTACTGTACATTATTGTTTCTTCTCTATGCCCCGCCTTTCTGAAATGCGTCGATTTTTACAAAGCTCATTGGTCTGAAAAGCGAGGTGTGCTCTGATTGGCCAGCTATCCAGTGCGTTGTGATTGGCCGAATACCTCAAGCGTGTGACGGAAATGTTACACCCTGGCATTGTAGTCTACTCTACCAGGAAACAGTCCTCCATAAAATGCGCTGCACACATCTGAATATTTTGAGTTGAACTGTTCTGGAACAGTGTTGTAAATACAACTTAAACACTGATTTCAAGTCGTGTTCTCTTTTGGAAGGCCACACAAAGTAGTTTCGCTTTCAAAACGAAACACACAGCATCACATACGTTGGGCTTGAGTGAGCGGAGGCCGGCGGGCTAGAGTGAGGAACGGCCGGCAGGCTAGAGTGAGGAACGGCCGGCGGGCTAGAGTGAGGAATGGCGGGCGGGCTTGAGAAT